AAAGAAAGTAGATAATATATAAATTACTCTATTTACTAATTTAAATAAGTATCTAAAATTTAAAAAATCTTATATTTTATATTTATATAATCTTATATTTAAAGAAATCTAAATCGATAAGAGTAGATATAATAACTTTAAGACTTTTTTTAATAATAGAATATTATTTAATTAATTATATCTAAGCGTTATAGAGTTATCGTATATATTTTAATAAATTAATATATTATTTAAGCGGTGGCTATAAAAAATAGTTTTGCGATTTTACGATTTTACGATTTTCAAAAATTCGAAATTGCGGGGTTAACCCCTTAATCGAAATGGGTTGCCCTACTAGTCTTCTTCTATAAGATGTCAACCTCTCAAGTTACGGTCTAAATAACTAGTACTAAGCGATAGCAACGTGATACTAAAGGACAATGGCCGTCGGTAAGAACAATAACTTAGTTGACGAGGGTAGTAAGGGAGGTAGCAAGAAAGGTAGCAAAGGTGGTAGTGTAGGCGGTAAAAGAAGTCGAATGAATAGCAGTAGTAGCAATCGATCTTCGATTCCCATAAACAAGATGATTTACCCATAGGGGATGGCGAGGGTCATGAAAAGGTATATGCGATTGATGGGTAATTGCCCATGAGATGGGCGATACACCCCTATAAGCAAGTACACTGCCCAGGAATAACCATACTATCCATAGATGATACATATCATTCATGGAGAAGTATACACCATCAATGACTTGCAGCAGAGCGAGGCAATGGATGAAGCAAGTCGGATTTGTGGATGATGGATGAAGGAGCACAAGACCTAGTGTATGTGTAACTGCCACATGGTTGAGAAGAGTCTTCAATATAAGTGTTTTCAGGATATATGGAACCAAAGACTACCAGGGAATCACTGCAACTCCTCTCCGTCAGTCTCAGCGTAGCTGATCTTTTTCGCCCTTGCACTCTGCCTCTTCGGTGCTTTAGTGCCATTCACCTTCCCTTTTCTCAGAAGCTCCATCTCTTCTTTCTCATCGTCGAACTCCGACATCGCCTCATCAGCATCCTCATCAGATGTGGAAGGCGTCGGCACACTCTTCGCACTCTTCTTTTCCCCATTGACTGCCTTTTTCACACCTGCTTTTGGTGCGACTCTCGGAGCGGCCCTTGCCTTCTTGATGGCCGGTGTAGGCGTAGCCGGCACTGCCTCATCTCCTTCTTTGACGCCGTTGTTTTCAACTTTCGCTTCTTCCTTAATTACGTCTGCGGCAGCTTTCTTCTTTTGAGCAGGTGTCATCTTGGTGTCATCTTTAGGCTCTTTGGGCTCCTTAGGTTTAATGACCTTTTTCACGGGTCGGAGCCAATGTTCCATACCCGGCGGCCAGTAGACGCGACCCTCGGGTCCGCCCATACCCACTTCATCGTCTGTGATAGTCTCCTGGACCGGATCCGCTTCTGCGTCCATTGCTTCTTCTGCTGCTCCAAGGTCGTCATCCTCATTCTTGGGCGCCTTCTTCTTCTTCGGTGTTTTTTTCTTGGGTAATCTGATCGGCTTATTGTCATCTTTGCGGACGTGGGGAAGAATGTCGTTGAAGCTGTCATAACCGGGCAGCTTGAATGTCCTCATGAGCTCGAAGACAGCTTGCTCCTTGTCCTTGGCTTCGATCATGAGGTCCATATCTGGTGGACACGGTGGAAGTGTTGCGACACGTGGGTTGTGCTTTCTGCGCTGCCGTCCTGTAATAGCCGAAGGTTCGGGCTCAGAATAGTGCATCTTGGGCGTAATGTTCTTCCTCTTCCAGGTGGCCAGTATGCGTGGAAAGAGTTCAACGATACCTTTTGTGCCTTCGCGTATCTGATCAGGATCGAAGATGATGTTGTGGTGATGGAAATCGAGAACCATGGGTATATTGAGCTCTTCGCAAAGCGGAAGCAGTTCATGTACAGACCAGCTGACATCGTCATTTTCAAGGACTAGGCGATCTTTGACGCCTTGAGGGAGCTTCTTGTAGTTTTCGCGGAAGCGTTGGAGGGTCGCGGCTTTATCGCCAAAGACGCCGCCCAAGTGTAGGATCATTACTGCATCGCGGTCTTGCTGTGGAGGAAGTTTGAGAAGGCTCAGGAGCTCAGCATGATAGTCGAGATCTCGGATGGCATTGTCAATGACTGGCTTGCGGGGAGATCCGAGCTGGGTGTATTGGCCAGGGTGAGTGGTCAATCTGTGACCAAGCCTTGCTGCAACTTTTCCAGCCTCTGCCAGTTCTTTCGAGACGAAGGGTGCCAATTTGTACCCATATTCCGGGTGGCTTGCGAAGGGGAACATCTCGCTGCTCAGCCTTAAAAACTTAATACCATACTTGTCGTTCCATCGTAGCATCTTCACAATGTCTTTTGCGTTTGCTATCCCAAGGCTCTCCACAAATGCTTGTCCCCTCTTAATATTAGCCGGCTTTTCTCGATCTGGCCTGTTCTTCGTTGCATGGGGTGGCTCATTCGGGTCTCGAAGCGGATGGCGGTTCTCTAGTATAGATGCAATACGACAGGTTCGAGAGCTGAATACAGGAGGATTCGAGAAGCGCAGATATGTACATAAACAAGCCTATGAACGTTTAGTGGCGGCCTGGAATTGTCAGTGGCATAGGCAAAGCTCACGTATCCTATTCTCCCCTTCCATGGTAAAGGAAGGTAGTCGCTATTGACAGGAGGCGGTCTCGATAACGCAGCCTGAATCTCCTCCTCGTCCGCTTCCTCGTCACCCTCGGCCTCAGGATCCAGAAATTGTGGTTCCTTTGCAGGCTCGTTCTTTTTCTTCGCGGCCAACGCAGGCTTCCTCGACTCCTCTTTGATCCCTTTCTTTGCAACCGCAGCTGACTTGCCATTCTCCCTCCCATTGTTCCTCTTCTCCACCGGCTCTTCAACCTCCTGCATCTCAGACAATGGCGAATCGCTATCCTCCTCTTTGACCTGCTTCTCAACATCCATGCCTGCTTCCTCGAGATTCATCGTCTCATCTCCGTCAGGTGAAGCGCGCAGCGCTTCCGGGGCGTCAAGAACATTTGCATTCTTGTCTGGATTCGTAGACCCAGTATCGGCTTTTGGCCGTGACACTTTGCGCTGACTTGCTCTTCGCTTCGGAGGTGGATTTGGGTCGTCGTCGAACGGAGGAGGGAGGATTGGTACTGTGGTGGTGGCAGGGCCTTGTGTTGCCGTAGAAAGACTTTTCCTCTTCGCCATGGTGATCGGGATGTAATGGCGAGCTCGACAAGGACCTGACACACATAGGGCGCAAACGGCGTGACTCGCGCTGGGCTTTGGAATCGTCAGGAATTGCGCAGACGTCTTAAAAGCACTCGATGATTGGCACTTCGAGGCACACTTCCGGAGAGCATATATGGACATGCAGTCGTGGCTCGGAAGAATTAGGTATTCAGGTATAAATCTCTAGAAGCGGCGCCTCCAAAACGCGAGAAACGCGACCAAGATCTCGACGTCATGGATCGCCAGAATACCTAGGGGCTCTCTCAGCCCTACAGAATTCTTCGGTGTCGGCATGGAAATCACACTACTCGTAGTACCTACATGGTAGTCATTAGACATGGAAGAAGTTCCATAGCACTTATACATACTTGTAGAGTAGACACACAATACATGCACCCTACTACGTCCCGCAATTGTCCCTATTCCTGCACCCCTACTATCGCTCCTACACCGGGCGCAAAGCTGCGGAATAGGCTCTTTCGCTGCGTGGCTGCTTGCACTTGAAGCTGGGCTCGCATCTTCGGTAATGTTAAGCAGATACCGGCAAGGCAAGGCAAACGCCTCTTTTCAAGAGGCAGGCATAGAAGGGGAATATGGGCGAAAGCTCCGCGGCGTATATGGAGAATCGGAAGGAGAGGCCGATAGATGCCTCGGAAGGTTCGAAGGGTACGGATTGCAAGTGGTACATCTCTAAGGATGGCGATGATGGGGATGCATGCAAGCACGTGTTTGGGCCTTTGGTAAAGTGATAAATTGGATTGAGTGTGGACAAGATGTGGTTGGAGATAGCATCATGGGACGAATAGTAAAGACAACATGCCCTCAAGCAAATTTACTGCTATCTATTTGGTGCTACCGTGTCTTGCTCAGAAGTCTTCATATTCAGGGAAACGCAACATGCTTCCACTCGTGGACATTGCCTTGACCGAACTGGCCCCCCAATCTTTTCTGTGAGTATTTGGTGAAATCTAGCTCAAACGAGTCTGACGAGGTCAACACGAACGTGTATCGTTTGAAGACAGCTTAATGAAGTTGAACAGCACTGATGGAATCTCATTCAATTCGCCTCAGTGGGACTGAATTTCAGAACCACCAAAGCGGAATACATATGTCAAGAGCGATGAATATGAGTGGTGCGATTGGGGAGGAAAAGGATCCGGCAGATACGTACGTACCAGGCGCAGTTGAGGTGGCTGCTGATACATCTGGTGTAGGAGGCCTTGTTGGGGACGGTGTCGAGACGGCCGCTGGTCAGTCGGAGGCAGTCTACGGAAGGTCGAGTTGTCCCAGGTGACGGGGGATGGTGGTGTTGAGAGCTGAGGAGATGGTGGTTTGAGGTACGTAGGAGCGTTGGCAGCGTATTTGAAGCTGGAGTTTTCTTTTTTGCTTATGATCAAGAGAGATTACTATTGAACATTTGGCGCGATCAAAAATTCCGTTTGGCGCGTGAGGTGTACTCTACATATTAAATGGTTGCGTTGCCGCCGTAGAGAGCGTAACTACCCTCGTACTTAGAGACAGGTCATATCTACTAGATGAAGAGTCTGCTCAGGCCAGAGAAACTTTGAACTGCAGCGGATGCGAACGAGGATAGGAATTTAGCTATCTTCAGAGAGTTGGACGACATTTGGTACTTCGCTAGGTTAGAACAAGGGACATGTAGAGAAGTCTATTTCGTAAATCTGTTGACTACCTTCTGCATTCTTCATTGTCGAATAGCTCCTCATAGCAACGTTCCAGTCCCCAGAATCTATGCGGAAATCCTAATCAGACTCATACACCGTGACCCCAATCTCTCTCAAAGCCTCCTTATCCAAGTCCCCCTTGTCGAGTACTTCCTTCATTCGAGGGTGCCAGTACTCTTGAAGGAAGTCTTCAAACGGGACATCGAATTCGATCCTCTTCACTTCGAATTCTTCCAGGAGTTCTTCCAGCTTTCTCAGGTCCGCTACTTCCACGTCCTGAATCTCATCGATCTCAGCCTGGTCTCCAATTCTTGAAAATACAGAAAACTCCCACTCACGGTCTCTGCGGTGCTCATGGTGACAACAGGTGTGTGTGAGCCCCAGCTCCTCGAATGTTATGAGACGCATAAATTCGGAACATTTCAACGGATTGCAGATATCCATTATATCGGCCCAAAGGTTGGCCAGCTGTTGGGATCTGTAATTCTTCCCCAGACTCAATATGTAGCTTTTTGTTATCAGCGTCAATGCTTTGCATCCACCATTTGAACATGCACATTCGCAATCGTCAGATACGTTGTCCATGAGTACTTGTTCAAACACGCGCCGCGAAATTTCGGAAAGTATCATTCCCAGCGGCATGTCGTGCTTGTCCCACATGCTGACGTATAGGAGGTTTTCCCCCAAGGCGAATCCCAATTCGTGCGCCAAAAATTGCAAAGAGGTCGCGCTCAACAGCTGCCGTGATCCGGATCGCATGTTTCGTTCCTCTCGTTCGAAATACAAACCCAGGTCCTGTTTCGCGTACAAGTCGGCACCTTTGTTTAGGAACCACGCCACACACTCCAGCCTGATATTTATTGAGTGTTTAGAGTGAGCGTCACTGCGCATATACATCAATGGTGTGAGCCCAAAACAATCCCTACCGTCGATATCGCGAAACCCTGCTTTCCAAAGCCTCTCTGCAATCCGGGGGTAAACCTCTATTTGATGATAGACTGTTGTTCGATCTCTACCCGGGTCTAGAGCCGAGAGAACTGGAATGCCATGATGTACCAATGCCGAGAACAATCGTGATGCTTTCTCGTCAGGTAGAAAGAAATCATGGTCCCCAAGCGGATAGAAATGAGTTAAAGCTGAAACTGGAAGTAGACGAGTTGCTAAGTCGCGCAGTCTCTGCCTTCTATCAATTACCAGGTCCACCACAAGATCAGTTACCATCTTCCCCTCTGCAATCAGCGTTTGTTTCCCTCGGCAATTCTCTCCGATGCGTATTGCGTCCTTTAAAATGGGACTGTGAGAATAGTCGAGTAGGGAACAATCCGCATTACCGAGTACATGTATAGGCTCAATCAGTGATCTGTTAATTGCGTAATTTAGTGGTGACAACATGACGCAGTCAAGGCAGTCAACATCAGCACCCGCCTCCAGTAGTAAACGCATCCCAGCGGGCCACTCCACAGCAAGATGAAGTGCCGTTTGTGACATGTTGTTGGTCTCGTTGATTGCACGTGGCGATACTGCGAGTGCTCGTTGTAGGTCGACTTCAGACTTTCTTGCTACCGCCAGACAAATATCATTGCATAATAACGCTGTATAGTATAAGTACTTGATTGTTATTTCATTTCTCCTTAAGGATTTGGGGCTACCTTCTGCGATATCAATGATACTAGTCAAAGTATGACGAAGGTATATAGGTGGCGGCACGCTGAGGACTGCATCCGCGCGAATTATTTGGCCTGGTCGATTAATGGTTACAAGCTCAGCACCCACATCTATGAGCTGCGTCACCGAGGATGCAAAGCTTTCGCAGATGCCTTGGTCGTACCAAGGGCCGACCGGAAAATTAAGGAAGCAATTCAAAAAGGTCCTACTGTCGTTAATGAAGACACATCAAGTACCTCGTAGAGTTAAAGCACTTACTGTCCTTGCTCATTGACCTCATTCAACGGGACGCCAAGTGTCAGAATTTGCCTGATCAGACAGACAGTGAGGTCCGTTTGATCTTCTGAACATAGGTTCGTATGAAACCAGTAATCACCCGCATGATACGCTGCTACCTGTGCCCATGCAGTTAATCCTTAGGACATAGTCTTCTACTTCAATACCTCACCTAGGATTACCTACATGAAGTAAAGTATTTCCATGTACATCAACATCGTAAGGAGATGCCTTACGGTCTTGGAACAACTGCCGTAAGCTCTGCACTCGCTGATTGACGGCAGCCTCTATGTCATTTGCAGGCATCCCCTTCAGGATAGGGTCTCTAATCAAGGCAAACGCAGGAGAATCAGAGGATACTAAATTTGTGAGACTCATGGTCGGGCTCAAAGACATGCCTCCAGCTCCATTTGTGAAGGATACGGTAGCTTGCAGCGCGCTTGCCAGTAGCCTGTTGCAATAGGCTAGACGAAAGCTCAAGCTCCAGGATGATTCTGTCCAAGCAGAATGGGGGCAGTCATGATGATGACATACATTCGCCGTGCGTAGGGAGACAGTCCATGAAGATTCTCTCAAGTTACTGTTCTGCGAGCTCGAGTATCGTTGGCTGCTGGCCCGAAATCGGCAAGTGCAGACCTTTCCCATCCTCGTCTTTCGAATAGTTGAGGGACTCATGGATGTTCTGTGGGCTATATTCTTTGCCGCATCATCAAGCTCAAGGTCTTTGAATTCGTCACAAGTCTTCCTAAAGAAGCTCGGGCTCTGCATGAGGCTCAACTGAATGCTCCTTACATCGCTTTCCTGCACACTTGTCAGTAGCAGAAGGTTGGGGTCCGTAGAGAGGTCGGAGCTTACGAGTGTCGCTGCTCGAGTCTGATTTGATTCCGAATGCTGCTCCAAAGCCTTCATCAAACCCAAATTCTGTCGAGCCAAACCATCGATCCTGGCTAAAATAGCTGATTCCGTCGCAGAGGATGTTTGTTCGAACTGCGTTTTCAGCGTTGCAAAAGAACCTGAGAACGATGTATGGTGCTCTTTCATGTCGCGATGAATGGAGTGCACACCATCGTGCAGAGCATGTAAGTTCAAGGACGACGCTTCCCGTTGTCGCTGAAGGACTGGCAATACTACGCATGCGCTTTGGACGGATCGCTCAATGCGTTCAACTCCATCATATATATCTTTGCCTTGCTTCGTACTGCTTGCTGAAATTGTACTGATCTCAGCCAGGGTTGAGCTTTGGTTGATAAGTCCTTCCCTACGCACCAAGGCTCAGTCAGAATAGCCGAGTAAGATGGTTTTCGAGTTTTATATTACATTTGCAGGGCGAGAAGCGCTGTGTGAACATTATATTGTAGTTCTGTCACTGTACCTTGTAGCCGTAGAACGTTCGATTGCTTGAATGGATACAAAGCCTGCTGTCTGTGATTATGAATGCTAGCTTTGAGTCCCTGAGGTTTTGGAACCTTTTTGCATGAATCAAGCGATGTCTGCAGCGAGTCAAGACCATCTTTGCATATTCCTATACTTTTCGTCACGTTCACGCTCGCTCTTGATGTGGTCAATCCGGGCTTCTGTAGCGCTTCTTCACAGATTTCGAGCGTCGACCGGAGGCCTTCAATCTTTCTGCAAAGCGAGCCAACGGTGTCATCGTAGGATTTGTAGTCACCGTAGTACGACAGCAGACCTTGACAGACTTGAATACCAAGAGAGACGACGCTTATAGCGCTGGCTGCCACGGAGAAAGGATCCGCCATCTGGGGCGAATATGCTTCAAAGGAAGGACAAAGCCAGCGTCGACTAAGAAGGTGCAGAAAGGTGCTCAAAATGTGCGGTAACGCTACCCCGCCGTCAAGGCACCCAGATGAGGCTGACTCGGAGGGAACTGCTCATGGTGGGACAGCTTAGGTAATGCATGCATGCAAGCTGTGCTTGATTAGTTGTCCTATCCATGAAAAATACGTATCACATGCACACATAGGGGCCTACATAGAGTGTATATAGTGGTTGGGCCGTCTCACGCCGGGGATAGCAAGCCTGAATAGACCTCAATAGAGGCCTGAACAGGCATATTTCTCGTACCCCAGCGCAAGAAAACTTTTATGCCTATGGTATAGACCTGGAGTAAAATGATAGCCAGTTATATATAGATGTGGGTGGGTGGAATAAAAAAAGAGCATATAATGGCTCTGAAAGAAACGAAATCGAATGAAGAGGCATTCACAAGTGCAAAACAGGTGGCTATATAGCTCGTACTGGAAACCTCTCTCCTACTCATTGCAGAGGTACCAACAAGACCCTGGAACAGGGGCACATCATGTGACTTACTAACCCCCTGTCCCACTGTGGCGAATTGTCTCAGCCTTGCGACTGTACTTGTTCGGTCTGATCACGTCCGTTCCAAGAGGAGAGTCCAGTCGAGTTCCCTTGTATGTGTATGTTGCGTTTGTGTTACTTCTTCATAGTACTTACGAAGAAGCTTATTATTAGCTCTCAGCGTAGCACAGCAGTGGTGATGATAGAAAGCGTGTAGATTCAGTGGTGGGGCCATCAGCCATTATGTAGCTGATGGAGAACAAAGTATTACTATCTATAGCTAGCTATATGAAAGGAACAATAATAAAATATATATAAAAGGATATAGAAGGGACGTATACATAGAATATAGAAGGAATTAGATACGCTAATACTCCCCCTATCTAGTAACATCTAAATACCTCTATTCTAACGCCAAAATCATATATTATTCTAATTTATTAGTTTAGGTCTTTATCTACTAATCTTATTATATTTATAAAGTTACTAAATTTCGTAGTAATTAATACTTTAATAAGGTCGTCGACCTTTATATTCTTTATAGATATATATTTATATCTTAGCGTCTAATTAACTATTAATTCGCGTATAAAATAATAACTAATATTAATATAATATAATCTTTTATAATCTATAGAGTTCTTTATTAGATCTATAACTCTCTTATTATTATACTATATTATAGATAATTTATTTAATTATTATTTAAGCTCTAATAGAATATAGTATATTTATATTATATTCTAAGTAGTATTAGAAGTAATTATATATTCGATTTTATATATAAATTATACTATAGTCTTCTACTTAGTAAATCTCTAATTAATTAATCTATTATTTAGTATTATAATTATTCTAACTATTAATTATATTATAGATATCTTATCAATCTAATTAATATCTAAATATTCGAATAGTTATAAAATTACTATTTTTATAATCTTAAAGACTATTTCACGTATTCTAATTCTAGCTAAATATCGTAATATCTTTTTATATGCTTATTAATATTAATAGTTTAAATTAAAAGAGAATATAATTAGTTTGCTAATAGTAAACGCTATATTCGACTATATCTAAGTAACTAAATAATTAATTTTCTCTAAGTCACTCTTAAATACGATAATATCTTCTAGATTAGCTATATATATATTAAATATAAGAATAAAATAATTATTTACATTTAATTTCATTAGAATAAGCGAAATATAACACTCCTCTATATTATGAATTACGAGGATCTTATTAATAAATATAAGTTAATTTATTTTAAGTATTCTTATTAAACGATTTCTTTCGATCTTTATATCTAGATAGTATACACATAGGCCGAGATTTACGATATTAAATTATTCATATAGAAGTCTCTTAATTCAATTAACTAATAATCGATTACTAACGATTTTAATATTATTAATATAGATAATTAGAAAGATAATTTTTTTATCTAATTAATAGAGAAATAGATATAAATCGAATTATAAGTATATAAATCTAATTTTAAATAAAAACTCTACTAGCGTCTTATATTATTTATGATTAGACTGTTTTAATCTATATAGTATCCTAAATAATAAATAAACTCGATCTTAATCTAATTCGATAAAGTCTTCTAACTATTTTATATAGATCTTATACTTAAGTTTTATATATAGAAATATTATTATAATATTAACTAGATCTATTTTCTAATCGTAATATATAGCTAAAGCTAAGAGAATCTTTTATATAATTAACTTAATAATATCTAAAAAGATTTCATTATAGTCGATATCTTCTTATTAAAGAAAACTCTTAATAACATATCTAGCTTTATAGCGTAGAATTTCATTATCTACCCTTAGCTTCTTCTTATAAATCTATCTTTTCTTAAGAATAATACGATATATTAATCTTAATATTAGCTTTTATATCTTTATCTTCTATAATAAGTTCTATTACTTCTATATAGCGATTATTTATTAAAATACTTTAGATTTATTAATTACTTCTTTATAAGTATAAGACTTAATATTAGATATAAGCGATATAGCTTATATTAACTTAGTAAATCCCTTCTTTAGAGTATCGAAGTTAATCTATTTATCGTCTTAAATAATATAATAATTCTTTAATTTATTCTTAATTCGCTATAAGCGTCTTGGTAGATTAGATATAGGTGGGTTTAATATATTGGAAGTAACACTCTCCTAATCACTTAGTTCAGATGAATCCGAAATATAGCCAGCCTCGGGATTTCCTAGACCTATAGACGGATTTTAGACTGTAACCCTAGAGTCTTCTCTAGATATATTTACTATTATCTTACTATTTATAACTAATAAAGAAGAAGCTTTTAAAAATAATAAAATTCTTTTAGCGATAATAATAGTATTTATAATATTCTTATCCTCTAATATCTTATCTAGCTCGTTTTTAATATTATTAAAAGACGAGATAAAAGTCTAAAGAGGTCTTTATAAGATATTACGTTATTATATTAAACGAGATTTATTTTAATCTTATAATCGATATTAATTAAATTCCTTATAGTTAAATAAGATACATTTAAACTCTTATTTAACTATTTTTTATTTATTTATACTTATAGTTATAGGCGTAAACCGTCATTCCAAATAGCCTTAGATAAGCTATATTTAGCTTCTTTTCAGTAAGAACCTTATATGATATTATAGCTATCTTTCTTAATAGGGCCGTAAGTAAGTAATTTATATTTAGAATAGCTATTCTAATTATCTTAGCTTATAGACTTAATAATAGATCTATAGCTATTAACTAAATATATATCTTCTAAATAAGAATATCATTAATACGCTTATTAATATTATTTTATTTAAGTGAATTGGATATAATTAACTCTTATCGTATATCTTAAAAGACTAGCCAATCTCGGGTTTCTTCGTTATTATACTTACTATCGTTATTAAAACGAATACACTTAAAAGTAATATAGAACTATATTTTAATTATGATAATAAAGTTCTATAGTAACTTAAGTATCTAATCCTTAATTTTCAAGAAGTCTATCTATCGAAATCGAGTTTTTTAATTAATCTTTATAGAGTAATAATAGTAGCCTTCTTTAAAGCGAGATAATATTAATTCATTATTAAAGAGATCTATATAAATACTATTAAAAGCATTTTCTATCTTAATTATTAATTTATAATCTAAGGTCTTCTTCTATTTTTCGTAGATATATAACTTATAAAATTATCTTTTAATATTATCTATAATTTTTATTCTCTTTATTATAGTCGATAATTTAATAATATTATCGAAATTTAAATAATTTAATACTTAATATTATTTAATAGCTATTATCTTTTAATAGTTAGCTTTCTTAATAATCGCGATTATAGCGATCTCTTTAATTATTATAACTTTAAATAATATAAATCTTAGCTTATAAAGTATATTTATTAATTCTCTCTTAAAGACGATATTATTATTATTATTATAGACTCTTAAACGATTCTTCTTTTTAATATAAGTAAGGTCGTTATATTAAAATATATCTAGAGATAATAGATTTATAAATAGACTTTCGATATAGTAGACGTTTATAAGTGTAAGCATATATTCTTTATTCTCGCTATTATTATTCTTAATAAAGATCTTTAATAAGATATTATTCACGATAGTAGCCTTTAATATTCTTTCGTTAGCAGTCTCAACTAAGATAAGATTTTCGAGAAATATTAATTTCTTAACAAAATAGACTT